TCTATGATTCTATGATTCTATGTTTATTGTATTTACGTGTCTGTCCTTTTAAAAATATTTATAGGTAACCTGTAGAAATTCTGGTGGGCTCCAGCCCACTGTGCCCAAAATAAAAAATGAATTCATGAATTCAGGCCAATAAAATATTCTCTGCATGAAAATGACAACTTTTTTTTTGCTGAATTGTCCTAACAATGCCTGAAATAACAGGTATAATGGTTAAAATATTCAGCATAAGTTAGTGCCTTCAAAGGAAACTCGACAGCACCTTACTAAAAGAAATGCCACATGAATACATGCACTGCTAAGTGTACCTTGTAACACACAGCAAACAGCAGCCATGTATTGTATTGCCCTCCTCACGTGGCATATAACAACTATTGGCAACCAGTGCCATGCAAAACAAATCCATTTTATCTGCTTGTGTAAGTTTTGTGTTGTATATAAGGGCCAAGTACATGACAAACATTACTAAACCATCTTCCCAGGCAACAGGCTGAACTAAGAACAGAGCTCCACAAAAGCTGCTTTCACTGGGTCTCTCTAACCGAGGCTGGATTCAGTTCACTTCTGATTCCTTGATGATGACACCATCACCAATGTCTGAAGGAACCTCAAGGAATTATGTGAAGATTTATAGCCCTGAACTAATTGAGCTTGCAACCTCACTGAAAAAAAAAAAAGCAAATGAAGCAGCACCTCAAATACTGTCCTTAACTACCAGCTAGGGCAGCCATCTCAGGCTGACAGTCCGAATTCAGATGAGAGGATTCTGCAGATGAGCAAATAGACAATGGTGAAAAAAGACTGTGAGTCTGCATGGACTCTGTGCATACCTGATATATCTAACAAAGAAATATCTCAGTAATTCTATACTCACCCTTTGGCAACAACTTTGGTGGAAATGCTATTTAACAAAGTAAAAAAAAGTGAGAACAATTGAAAGAATTTTCGTTGGCTTTTAAAAGCATCCTTTTGAAAATATTCTTTCAAAAGCCTGTTACCAAATATTGGGTTCAAACATTCCCACTTTTGATCACTGAAAAAGTACAACTACGTCCAGATATTTCTAGCACAAGGAAACTGAAGAACTGCAATTTCTCCACTGCTTCCTTCACCTTGGTCTGGAGTTAAATTCACTTCACTTGTCCATAGCTTTTGATAAATCTGGGAAGGTTCAGAAGATAAAATCCAGATGCAAACCATGTATGCAACTGCAGTACAATTTCTGCACATGGCCTGACACGTTGATTATTCCCTTGTACATCATCGACACAAATTCTTGATGAGCATACATTTCTAAAAGCAGTACATAAAATAAATTAATGTTTACTTTACTTATTGTTGCGGTTTAGGCACAGCCAGCAACTAAGCACCATGTGGCCACTTACTCCTCCTCCCTGACCCTGATGGGATTAAGAGGAGTACTGAAAGAAAAAAGTAAACTTGTGGGTTGAGATAAGGAGAGTTTTATAGGACAACACAGGGAGAGAAGAAATAAGAGTCTACAAGCGAGTGATGCACAATTCAATTGGTCACCATCTGAAACCAAACACTCCACCCATTCCCGACCCATGATCCCTCCTCCCTGCCATGAGCATGACAGCATATGGTATGGAATGTTCCCTTGGCTAGTCTGGATCAACTGTCCTGGCTGTGCCCCCTCCCTCGTTCTTGTGAAAATTATCTCTATCCTAGGCAAACCCAGGACATCTGTAAAAGCATGAAAAGATTATTTAGGAGTTCAGTAGTTTGTCAAAAGAAGCCACAAACCCATGATACATAATGTAAGCCAGTTAATTTAACTATAATACATGTAACTGTCAATGAAGATAGCATGCTGCAACTGGTTTTGCCACATATATTCTGATACAGTTATATAACTAAATTTGTAAAAGATCTGAAAAACGGAAGCAATCTGCACTACCTTGCAAGTTAAACTGAGTCTCCTGGAGGACAGAGATAATTTCTTCTCGTGGGGGTAGATCTGGAAACTTTTCCTCTAGCATTGACAGGACTTCCTCCTGCTGCTCTGTAATTCTGTCAGCCTCTGAAGACATGCACTTGAAGAGAATGCTTCCTGAAAGATTGAAAGACAAAAATCAATGCCTCCTGTAAATAGTAGAGAGGTACTACAGAAATAAGAAAGTTTACAGTATTGCCATACAAGCCCTTTCCTTCTTGGAGACTGTTTCCACTGACGAATTCACTAAATTAGCTATTGAATACTTTTCACAAAGAAACATCATCCTAATGTGAGGGCAGTTTCTCAGATGTGAACTGGATGCCTGGCTGGGCCTATGCTACAGCTAACTGACTGCTTCCAGTGCTGCCATTGTGTACAGTGTACTTCTGTACACCTAACACAACTCTGTGGCATGGCTGTAACTCACTCCAGCTAATTCCTCATCAATGAGTATACCAAGTAAGCACAGCACATTCAGCCAAACAAAATTACTTAATTTAATTTTAAAAATTAAAAGAAACATAATCCAATAAATAAATTCACCATAATTGGTATGCGCTTACAATATAGAGGTAAGTATGATGTCTTTTCAGACAATATGTACTGCATATATTCCATCCTGGAAGAAAAACATTGCTGATAGCTCAAGGTTTATAGTCACCCCTTCCTTCCCTGGAGACTAGGATACGATTTGTTAATATACCCAAAGATAGCCTTACTCATACTAAATTAAGGATAATAAAATCTTATACTTCAGCATTGAAATTATTTATTACTGTACCATGCACAGGGATTTAAACAAGTGTATGACTGCATTGCATCATGCTAGGTCAATGAGCAAATCAGTACAGTAGTATAAGACAGTTATTCCGAGCCAAAATGTTTAGGCTTTAGCACAGAAACAAGAGAGGACAAGAAAAACATGGACAAACCCATCTTCAAACTCACCAGACTGACTAGGACTCAACTAGAATGTATCTGTTTTTTCCCCTGCACTGTCATCACATAAAGTAAAGAAAAAGCACTTCTTCAAAATTCATAAAGTGCTTGCAACACAAAACAATTTTGCTATGCTAAGTACTGAACTCCTTATTAGACAAATCCTGACCGGACTAAATAATAAGCAATGCTTAACACGCCAAAAGCTGTCCCCCATCAGATAGTAATCTCTGGAAACTCACATACATGAAATTTGATTCTGTGTTTCTGCTACAGATACTGTCTGCCAATATTCTTTTAATTCTCACCAACCCTTTCTTTTTGTCCATTTTACTATCACTTGAAGACAACGCTCCTGCCCTATTTAATAGTATTGCAAATACTGAAGAAATACAGACTGCACGAAAATCTGACCTAGATTGACCTATACTGTCAATACCGACATTTGTAAATTTAGGTACACAAAACACAGCTTCATAGCAAGCAGATTTCAGATGTCTACAGGTAAAGAACTGGCACATAAAGCAACCAAGACTATACATATTGGCAAGGTCTATTTTTCAGTCCCTTTTATGTGAAGCAAGTCTCCCAATCAGCAGCCTCCAGAATAACTCATCCAACAATATCCCTTCACTGTTACTGCATGTAACCAGATAACAGTGCCTGTGCAACATACTCTTGTCCAGAAAGCCCACAGCACACTCCCAGTAAGCACAGACCTGCACCTGGATAAATGGCAGCTCAGAGACACTGGGATAAATGGCAGCTCAGAGACACTGGGATAAATGACAGCTCAGGGATCAGGCTGTATGAATTACTGCAGCAATAGCAATCTTCTGCCATTTCAGCATCCTTTTTTTTTCTTCCTCCAGGAGCAGACAGGGAAATTGTTCATGCACAAAGGAAATGGAGACTCCAGCAGAACGTACTGGACCTACAATGCATGCTTAAATTCATCATACAAGTACGTACTGGAGCAACAGGATAAGCTAGGGAGTCTGTCCATCTGCATAGGTCCTCAGATACACAAACTTTTAGCACAGCTGTGTGTGCTTCTGGCACGAGAGTGTTTTGAGAAGACCCAGAAGAGAAAATCTTAACATAAACCTACTGGAAAATGCAGTAAAATGAGGTGTGAGTTGTATACCAAATCAAGCTCATCAGTTTTGAAGTCAACATGATGTGAGCTTCATTGTCTGCCTAATTTTACAGACATAACTGCTGTGCAGTGGGTTTGGCCTCAGGTCAGCAACATCTGATTTATTTCAGGGCCATGTACCACATATCATTCCAGCCTAACTACAGAACTGGTTGTGAATTGAGCAATAACTACACCACCACAGTTTTTATCCAGTCAGTCCTGGATTTCAACTAAGCTATATATAAGCTTCTGTGTTTTCTCAGAGAAACAATTCCTAAACTTACAATAAAATGAAACAGACTCTTTAATTAACCTTTTTTTTTTCTGTGTCAGTATTTCAAGCAGATAATGTTCCCATCCATCACAGCCAGTTTCTACAGTAAATTCAGGGCTGCACCACCAAATTAAACCAGCTAGCTCCACACTTGATGTAGTCCAGCCCTGAAGGAGCCAAGCAAAAAGGGTATTGGAAGACAAGACAGGAGAGGAGTTGAATGAAGAAGAGGAAGCAGAAATTGAGTTTCACCCGTGGAGGTTTATCTTGGACATTAGGAGAAATTTCTTCACCAAATGAGTTGTCAAGCATTGGAATAGGCTGCCCAGGGAAGTGGTAGAGTCACTATCCGTGCAAGTGTTTAAAAGATGCGTAGATGTGGTGCTTGGAGATGTGGTTTAGAGGTGGACTTGGCAGTGCTAGCTTTACAGTTAAAGGTCTTTTCCAGCCAAAACTATTATATGATTCCATGATTCTATATTTCTCCAACTGCAGGAAATAGGACAAATGGCAGGAGAAAGCTGTGGTTACACCAAGAAAGGTTCCAGCATTCAAGTCAGTATCTGACTGTGATTTTAATAACTGCCTGAATCACAGCTGTTATGCAGCATGAAAAATCATCATAAGCATTGTTTGCTAAAATAGTACATGGATTTCTTTCACATAAAAGCAGTTCTACTATAGTGCTGCAGCAGCAGCACTGCTCATGCTAATAAATCCGGCTTAATTCTCCTAAACACACAGGTTGGTAGAAGGAAACTTTTACATTATTTATCTATTCCCCCATCAAAAGGAACAGACAGATTGTCTAGGACATACTATGGCAGCCTACCATGCATTTCTACATGCACCAGTGTGTATTTGTTTCTTGCTTTCACATGTGTGACAAATCCTTGGTTTCTTCAACAGTAAAGACATCTTGGATTTGATCTCTCCTTTGGCAGAACACAGATATTACTTTAAAGCTGTAAAATCAGAATGTGTTTAGACATGCACTGCACTGTCTAACTGGAAGCCTTTGCCTTTCACCGCTCAGTTCAGGGTCAAGTCTTTTGTGTATTTTCATTAGGGTGACATCTTCAAAGAGCAAAACAAACTTTGGAACTTTGAGATTTATCATTTAACAGAAGAATGAAGTGCAACCAGCCTGAAATAATGCTACATCATAGGCAGACATCTCAGAAAGGTTTTTAAAAAGCTGCTTTTCCCACTTGCCACAGCAACATTGTAGTGCTTGCAATTGCTAATTTTTCTACCGGGACGAAAGCAAGAAAAGGATCCTTCTCAAATCAATGGGGTGTCAGCAAGCCCTAAGATCAACATTTATTCTTCCTTCATTCTTTAACACCGTGCTCATCAGCAGAAAAGAAAGGCACACATGCCTTCTCTCCCTGGCATCCTCAGCATCTCTGTCAGGGTTAAAATTCTGAGTAGATTAGAACAACAGTTCACTCAAAGTACTTTGGCCTAGCCAAAGGTCAGTAGCCCATGTGCTCTCTTGTAAGAACCTGCTGTAAAGGAGATACATGGGCTCAGAAATCTCCTGCAGATTTTACTGAGTGCTGGTACAATTCCCCCAGGGTTTCTGAAAGCATAATGGAGGCTGCTTTGCCTGCTGACAAGCACAGGAAAAAGAGATATCTAATAGACAATACAAGATTCAATATTATTTCTTGTGTACATCACACTATATTACAGTTATTTTTTTCCAAAGAGGTCACTAGAAAATAGGGTAGGATTCTTAAAAAAAAAAAAAGTGCATTTTATTCTTTTTTGCAAAGTTGTTTGGAAGTAGAACACTAGTTTTGCCAAAAGCAATCGCTGTGCATTAATATTAAACATGATCTAATGAAGGCAGAAGTCATTTTGGAAAAACATTAAGAACAGCACAAGCATCTCCTGAATTATAAGTTTATGGCTGACAGAAACAGTACAATGAAAATATAGGCATTTCTCCTGTCAAGGTTTTGTTCCATGATGTGGTAAAACAAAGGACAGGGAAAAGGAAAAAACCAACAGTCCCTCATGGGAAGCATACTTGAAAACTCTACCTCCAGACCTCAAGGCAGAAGTGGGAGTGGTGGGAGGGAAGCATTGCCTCCAAGAAAACTATACCCATACACAAAACCAAAAGTATTGTCCAAATAAGTGCAATATTTGGTGCAGTTCAAAATGCTCTAAAAAAAAAAAAAAAATTGGCAAAATTCCCAAAGTCCTTAAAAGGGAATCTCTTAACATGTGTCTGGATGGCTAGAATAACAAACTAATCTTCTCTACTGAAAGTCAGACTGCCCTAACAAGGCACAAAAAGACCTCAACTATGCAGTTCATCATTAACAAAAGCAGATTCACGTAAAAAAAATTGCTGATGCTTTTGCTGTAAATCTGTCTTTATTTACATGTTGCAGTCTGCACCTTGTGGCATCCTTCAAGGCCTTATACAAATAAACATAAGGAGGCATTTTTGAGAGTGCACTGACCCGAGGTACCTGACAGTGAGTGCCTGGAACCACATCCTTGCCAGCTGGCTGCAACAGAAAATGTAATGATTCAGCAGTTTAATGGATCTTGATTTTGGCAACAGTCCCCTTGTAAGCATCTCTGGGGAAATAAAATAATACAGGCCCAAGACTCTGGCAGGTTCTGTAATTGTTTGCTTCTGGCACAAGTCCAAGGACAGCGCAAGCTCTAACTTAAGGCAAATCTGGCTGTACAACACTGACTCTCCAAGCAGGCTCTATTCAAAGCCCAAGGGCAGAATTAACTTATAGTATGTCTGACAGGGAGACAACGATACCAGGAAAGAATTCAGCTGAGAAAAAAAAGTCCTTAAATATTAAACTTCCTAAATCAATACGGTTCAGTTTCACAAAGCCTTTTCTTTTTTTTTTACTTTTTTTTTTTTTTTTAAACACCAAAAAGGGCACTTGAAGTTTGTTCAAAGTTGAAATAGGGCAGGTTATAAACATCTGCCTTTGTTATTACAATTTTTTAAAATGCCAACCAGACTGTGAGAAAAAGGAATTTTGAAAAAGAGGCAACAAATGATGCTGTCATAGCCACTACATGACAAATTATGAAACATGAAATACTTGTATTTTACAAGTCTTCTAGCAAAATACTCACTGGAAAGTCAGAAAATGAAAGTTAAGTTCCCAGCTCAGAGACTGAGATGTTAGGATCTCTCATATGTTTTATGAAAATAAAATCCTAATTCTTAGCACTTTGACTTCCACTCTGGCCTTCTGTTTTGAACTTTCCACCAAATTTATACATATTAACAATATATAGATTTATATTGGAAGTAACATAACAAAGTGGGTAAAGCCCACTAGGACCTTGTCATTGGCTCTACATCTGTGGCATGTCACCAGAAACAGGGCTGTCCCGTGAACTTCTATACACACATCCACTGGGAGAGAGAATGAAGCACCCACCACTCCTTCCAGACCATAGTATGTGAGCCCTTTCTTTCCTATACCCAGATGAGATTCATTTCAAAACTTACAGTTTAGGGGCAAGCACTTTGACAAAAGGCCATAAAATATACAGAGAAACACTTGGAGAGGTTTTATTTGATCTTTTATTTTCAGACTGCTTGTAGTCTGATCTGCCATCTACATATATTAATATCTAGGAATATTTTTTTTTTAGCTTACCAAAACAAATAATGGGATTCTCCGATTTTTCTCAATTTGCAATGAAAGGTTTTTAAGCACCAAAAACTTTTTTCTGTTTAAGAGAGACACAAGAGGACTCAGTGTATTGCTTAGGCTTATATGCATACAAGCTGTATTGCTGGGAAAAGCAGAAAAGCATTGTCACAAATGCAGCTATGTTTTGTTGTTTAGGCCTTGCCCATGGTAGACCTCATACCATGCATGAGAAGGTAAGCAGAGGCTCCGATAGCCACTAAGTTCCTCAAAAATGTGCTACAGAGCATAATAATTAAAATGAGGTTATTATTTTTTAAAAAATTATCTAGTATCTTGTTCAAAACTGGAATTGTTATCTCTAATGCAAACACTTTTAACAAAACCACTTTATTTTCATTTGGATACAGACTAGAGAGACAAAACATGAAGATGCTTACAACCATGTATAGTACATGAACATGTCCATGTTCATTACTCATAGCACTGCTTTCTGACTCCTTCCTCATCAAACAGGTATCCTGAGAGACCCCCCAAACGCCTTTTTTGGTTCTGCCTCCAAAAATCAATTACTATGCTTGGTCATTTGCCCAGATTCCTGGAAAGCGACTCAACAAAAATTTGGAGCTCACAGAAGTATTTTCTGACAGGTTTACTAGAGCTTATTAGCATACAAAGATACTAAAAGGGAAGACTAAATGCTGTGTTACTGGCAATGTTTCTTCTGTGGAAACAAAAAAATTATCTTTTGTAATTTTGGGTATCGTGCCTGTTACTCTAGTTAACACGGTGATGAGTAGAATCACAAATCAAGACCCCAGTAACTTCTGAAATCTAAGTGTAGGCAAGTATTCATTAAAAATGCCTATATTAATTTTTAAAAGGGCATTCAACAGTTGCACATCACTTAAGACCTAAAACCTTTAAAATTCATTAAACACCATTAAAATTCAGTAAATAACTTAAAAGCAGCCGTCAGTCCTTTTCAACCGCAGTTTTGTTTTTCCAGCTGAAGAGTTCTGCTGCAGTAAATAAACCAAGGAAACTGGTTCTGATGATGAGCTATGAAGACAGAAATGAAAATACTTCTGACGGTTGAACCGCCATCCTTTTTACCTACCAAGCACACAGTACAAAAGAAAAGGACAGTGTAAGGAAGATTTGGTTACAGCATCCTTATACACTAGGAGTTTCACATCGCATCATTAAAACATCATTCTATAAAAAGGTACTACCATCAGGAAAAGCTTTAACATGTAAATAGTAGATTCCAATCCATATTGTTGTCCACAATGCCCCTGGAATCGACGAACTGCACAGCTTTTCCAGCTACCCAGCTGATGTGTCGACAGCTCCATTTAATATTCTTGCCTAGTGATACAGCAAAGACCTCTCATGCCTATTTTTAAATGCACATTTTTAATATTCAATATAATGTTACTCTTTAACAAACTCTTTACTCCCTGCTTCTTTCATGAAGCTTCCCGTGGTCTTTAAAAGGATTGTTAACCAAA